AAGTTCTTACAAGAATCGAGACTTCAACGAAATTTAATTTCAGATTGCAGAGATCTGAAAATTTCCTCGAATTTTGACTTCATTTGTTTGATTAGTTTTGATTCGCGAAAGTTCGTGAAATCAACAGTCTTCAAATACGCGGAATTTCGCAAAGTTTGCAGTAAAATGACATGCTCCGAGCCTACTTTCTAGACCTAGAAGAATGATAGGAAAGCCCGGGAATTCCGGGATACACCCGGAATACCATCACCCCTGAAGGTATAAATAGTTTCTAAAAATTTATTTTGCTATTTCTTCACAGTCATTATTTAAATTGCGACCTTCCCAATACTCCATCAAAATATTTTAATATGAGTTTCTCGTTTATTTTTTCATCAATTTTTAACACTCCAAATAAAATGCCATAATTGTTGGTCATAACGCTTTTACATATTTCTAAACGCCAAGACCTACGCTCAGAGGTTAAACTAAAATCCCATTTTTCACAGGTTAAGAATAATTAGTTCTGTAGTATATTATATTAAAAACAATGAAATAAACAATACACTAAGTGCAAAATTATATTATGCATGTAGATATATACATTAAATGCTTTAACATAACATTTCAATCTTGATGGAGTAGCCAGTAATTGTGTTGTAGTCAAATACTGGAACATATATATTAAAGTCAGATTTATTTTGGCAAGAACCCAAGAGACCAAAAGATACAATAATTCATGATGGCTGCTAGATTGAGAACAAGTGGGCAATCAACTGGGGAAAGTTTTTATATATTTCTGAACAATATTAAAATTAATAGATCTTAGTAACAGAGGACTAAGCACTTTCCTGTGTTACTAAAGACATAATTTCAATGCTAATTAAATTAATATTGTTCCACTCTGGGTGAAAAAGCTTTTAAATAAGTATAATATAAGGTACTTTTAGATTAGATTTAATATGTAATACTTTAACATTGCATACAAAACATAGTTTTACACTTCATATTGTTCGTTTCATGGCTTTTAATAAAAATATAGGACAAATTATTCAACACATAAAAAATGAGACTTCAGGTAACCTTCTGAGCTTTATAGTCTTGGCCTTTTCCAAACTTTAGGTAGTAAGTTTTATGGCATCTATAACTGGTTTTCCCTATATTATTGAATGGAAAAGCAGTGCATAGCAGAAAAATTTTGAGTAAAATTTCACCACTGAGTTTAACTCTTAGAGGGCTAATTTAGAGAAAACAAATTGCTGGAAAAATCATTAACCATATTCAAACCAAATACATGCAGTGTATTGATTTTAATAACCATTATCTTGAAATAGGTCAATATAAGTTGAAACTGTCAATAGCTTAAATACTCTGAAATTAATGCACTGACACACATGACACCAGATATTCTAAACAAAGTCACAAATGCTAACAGATGTCTTATTTTTTTTGTTTAAATGTGTAAAATAAAATTTTACCAACAGAAAAATTAAAATACTCATCTACAAAAGTTTAATTAGACCTGTCTTCACCTATGCTGCAGGGACATGGACTATGACATATAATGAGAAGTAAACCAATGCGATATTTGAAAGAAAGATCTTAAGAAGCATTATTGGAGAAACAGAAGCACTACTATCAAGTAAACTCAATGGAGAAAAAGGACAAACATAGAACTTCATAGATTATTAAAGATCCTGACATAATGAAGTACATTGCCTTTCAAAGGATAAAATGGACAAGACATATGAACAGAATGAATAATACTCTAACCACAAAAAAAAAATCTTTGTCTAAGCGAATCGCTGCTAGAATAAGAGAAATACCAAGACTTGCTGAGAAAATGCCTTTAAAACTATAAATGCAATAAATTAGAACTCTTCAGCCAAGCCAAGAATAGGACAGTTAGGGATATAATTCTGCGAAAGCCCAGGACCCACCTGGAGTTGTAGCACTAGTAAGGAAGGAAAGTGGTAGGGTTTTGTTAAGATTATTTTTTTTTAACTTTAAACATAGTTTCACAATTAGTTAATCTTTTGTTTCATTATCTTCAATGGTTACTATTTAAATAAAATAAAAAATTTAAAAATATTATAAAACCTTTTTTTTTTTTAAATTTATCTGTTACTTTTGAATTCTTGAGTATTTTAATTAAAGTCCCAGATTCTCTGACAAAATTCTGTTTTCCCTGATTTTAGCCGTTTTCTGGCTACCTTATCACAAGATAACATAAGATTTTGATATGCTTAGATTTTCTAAAATTTTAAAATATAATTTTACAATGAATAGTTATATTTATTGGTTTCCACATTTCTTTATATAATAATGAATTTTTTTTAATACGTCAAATGTCAACATAAAATGTCATTACGGTCACTTAGGATGAAACAAACTGCAAGTGAGAGTAACGTAAAATGGCCTAACTTATTTCAACAGAGGGCAACAACAAAAACAATTTTACCTCTCAAAAGCCACAATGTATTAAAATGAATATTTATTAATAATAATTTAATTTTTTGTTACTGAAAAAAGAGCATTAATTAATAAAAAACTGAAAAAACTCAGCAAATTATGCATAATTTTAAAAAAAAGTTTTTTCTCACTTCATCCTTTTTAAAATAATTTTAGCAGGTTTTTAACTTTTTCTGTGGAAAAATAAATTTTAAAATTTTCTAATTAATAAAACTTACAGACCATAATCACTTCATTGCGATTAGGCGATGCAAACACATAGCACCAAAATTTCAAAAGAAAGGAGAAACTAGTTGATACAATGAATATGCATTGACTGATTTGGATAAATGGCCTCTTGAAGTGATAAGTTTTAAATATAGCAGTGAACTATACTTATTTTGCACCTGTCTGGATAAAAAAAAAATTCTAAAAAATTTTTAATGCTGAAAGATTTCAATCTTGACAGCTAGAACAGAACCTCTACATTTAAAAATTTTATTAATATAATTTCAGTGCTTTTCTCAGCTCATTGAAATTAGTTTAAAAATTATTTAGTCAGGGAGATTTCCAAATTGTGATCTGTGGCAGAATAATCGCCAGGCCTTCGCAACTTCCGGGCAGCGACTAGTGAGAAACTATAAAAAAAAAAAAACATCACAGAAGGAGACAAACTCGAAGGTGTAACTCGTAACCACCTCCGGGCAAACATTTACATGTTTTCTTTAAAAAAAAATTGCAAGTTTAAAATCTATTTGGCAAATTGGAGATTGTAGTTGGCGCAATGGATTACGATACGTATATATCCCCATTTAGTCTTTAGCAGCAAGACAATGAGTTACACAAACAGCATTCGAAGGCTGCACTTGGTTAATGAGCCAAAAGTTTCAAAGTTCAAAAAAAAAAAAAACAATTCAAGCCATTTCAAAAGTTTTAAATTGATTTTAAAAAAATAGTCTAGAAAGCTGAGCTACATTTTTTGTTTAAAAATAAATAGATGCAGAATTTATTTTTTCTCAATGTCATGATTATTTTTAAGCACATAATAAACATTTAGACAGGCAGAATCAAACAAATGACAAGGTGAAGTAATTATGATTTTAAGAAATTAAAATAGTATAATCTTGATTAATAAATTATTAGTTCCCTTATTTAAAATGTAAATTATATTCAATTACATTATTCAATACGTGAAAAATAACATCACAGATTATTTAGGATAAACCGAAAAGCAAGAAAATTTAAGATTTTGTTTTAATTTCTGATGAAGTTTAGTTAGAACTCATTAGTTCTTTTAATTTCTGTTACAAAAACATAACTATAAGAAAGAATGTATAAGTTTTTTTTAAATGTTAATTTGAAATTAACCAAGAATTTCTTTAAATTTGTATTACACAAAAATAAAATATAATAAATCATACTAATAATAACATATCCGGTGAAAATATTATATTAAACAACTTTTGTATGGAAGTAAGAGACAATTTTAAGTTTCCTTACATTCTAAAAGATATGTTAGAAATGCAAAAATGTAATTCATGAACCATACTTAAGCAAATTAGAAAAAAAAATGACCAGCAATCAAAGGAGATTTAAAATAATCAATTAAAACATTTAAAAAGACAGTTGTTCTTGTACTGCATACAAGTATATTCCTTGAAACAGAACACAGAAATTAAAACAAACATAAAATTCTGGGTCTTGGCAATGATGAAGGCATGTTTTGTTTATTGTAGCAAAAGAGTTCTCTTAACTATACAGTGTTTTTAATCTTGTCATATTCTAGTAAAAAAAGTAACCCTCCTTACATGGAAAACTAATTATTTAAATCAATGTAATACTGAATATAATTGAGTTTTGTAAGAGAATAACAATTTGACAATTCAGAAAAAATGCAAAAATATGTTAAACACCAATTAGTTTTTTTTCATGCCAAAATACAGTATTAAAATGTGTCTACTGCAGATGACATCTTCAAGTAAACACTTATATCATCAAAAGAAAACTAAAGATTTTCTTACAAGGAAATTAAAGGATGGAGTAAAACAGCTGACATTAAACACTTCATTTAATACAGCAATAATTTAAAATAATTATAAAATATGCATTATATTTAGTAAATAAACTACTTGCATGAAGATAACTACATATGTAAACAATAATTTTAATTTTTTTAAGAGTTTATCATTTGAAAGCATCATTCGCAGGATAAAACTATCATAATAAGAGAAAAAAACATTACAGTTTAAGTACATTTAATTAAGCAGCATGTCAAAACAATATTTTAATAAGTAAAAGAAACATTTATTCCGATGTTAAGAAATTATAACCTAGAAATTGCCGTTAAAGGGCAGGATATAAAAACGGAAATCGGTTCATCATACGATTAAGTACAATATGACAGCTGTAATAGTAAATAAATTCTAATATATCATGAGTTATCATGTCATATTTGTTTGAAATATCTGTCATGCTCTGGCTATATGTTGGACTTACACATAGCAGATGTAGAACTTATAACATACACTACAAATAGCTGGCAAGTAGAAAAGAAATAGCTTAAAATATACCTTCTCTAGCCTTCAAGTAGACCGTATTTGCAACAATATTCTCTAATTCCATTAGTTCCAGCGTGGTAATTCCTAAGAAATTGGGTTCCGTAAAGAACCCACACACGCTCCAATAAACGTAATTTATACAAAGCTCTCCCGCACAGCTCCTACGATCGTCGAGACTTACTGAATTCTGCCAGAAACTCACTTGCCAAAGTCGCGTAGAATGCTACTCGAGGGTGGGAGATATCTAAAATGGCGAAACAGGCCTCCCAGAATCCATCATTCTTCTCGCTCATTGGTCGAGGTCGCTGCCATCCCTGGAGTAAACTCGGGAAGTGCTGGAAATTTTAACGGGATTCTTGGAGATGGATCTCAGTGATTAAATTCAACTCCGTTTTTTTTTTTCCTTTTTTTCTGACTGCTGCTGCTTAATTTTTGTCATTGGCAGCCAGAAATTATTGTCACTCGAATAAAAATAAACGAATGCGTGGTTTTAAATTAAATTGTGCGCGCAATCTTAAACAAATGAAAATTTCAAAACAAATATATAACATCGCTTTATTAATAATATAATGGTTAAACAGTGGACTGTGTATTTTAAGAGATGTAATAGATTAAAAATTAATATTGCATTTGAATGTTATCAATTTTTTTTATTTTAAATAATTCCAAATAACGCTTTTCAAGAGAGGGATTGAATCAACTCCGATTCGTAAATTGAGCGCGAAAGTCGCATTGTCGCAAAGTCGTATTGCTGTAATTAACAGGAAAAAAAACTGTTTCTTAGAAAATGTAGCTAAAAAAAATTTTAAATTGCAGAAAAAATTTTAAAATACTAGACTTCACTGTTTTTTCTGCCATATTTATTATGACAAAAAATTTATGCAGAGCATGATCTTTATTAATAATATACTTTAATGTTTTTTCTGCCATCTTTATTATAAAGCAATTTAAACAGTGCATGATTTTTATTAAGGTTTTATGATTTCATTATTATTGCAAAACGTTTCTTGTCTCAAATTGCTGGTTTCGTAACTTTAATTAAATTATTGTCTGCGAAAATATTTGTAAAAATATTTTTTCAGACAATGGAGATAATATTAATACACTATTTTGAAATATTTTAACGAATTATTTTGCTGTGAAGGAATTATTGCAGACGTCATTTATTTACATATGAAAATTCTAATCAAACCATCATAATTATTCCTTATACCACCAACCGGAGCTGCTTTCGTTCTTGCTGGTTTACTTTGGTCCAAAAAAAGAAAGTTTAAGACGCAAGGGTATTTTTGGTCTTAAAAATATTTTTATACCTTATTTGAGGGTATTTTAATAATTTTGGGTAATTTAAAAATGTTGTCATTAACAACACTGGAGTTTTCGTAAACCAATGTTTTCATTAGAAAATTTGTTCTCCAAACTTTCCACTGTGGACGTATCCAATTACGTGATAAAAAATTAGGTTAGTTTCAAAATATTACCTTTAATAACCTGTTGCTAATGCAGAATAATGTTTTTTAACGGTATATTTTAAGGTTTTCGTAAATATAGCGTATAAAATCAAGCCTGATAAAAAAAATATTCCTGTTTATGATAGGTTGACATAAAAAAGAAGAAAAAAAATCAACCCTTCCATGCCAATGAAACGATGATACTATATATATTTTATAACCGTCGTTGAACAGCCTACCCAGTTTCATGGATTTACGACTACTAATGCTCAACTCCGTAGCCTTGTAATTTCGAACCCAATCCAGAAGACACGGGAATTCCTGGATCGAGTATTGGGAGAAGTTTGCCTTCGTGGAGGACTTTTTGATGGAGCTAACCCACATTTGCGTTACATGGAGAGGAAGACCACGAGAACTTCCCACGGTCAGCCTGACGGCAAGGGGACTCTAACCCATGATTCGTCTACCACTGAGGATATTTCACGTCAACACTGTGGTCGGTGCAAGTCGGATGCGGCATTCGTATCGACTGGGATTCAAACCCGGTTCGCCTCATTGGAAGGCGAACGCTCTATCCCCTGAGCCATCGCAGCTCAAACGATGGTACTTCTCTGTTCCGGAGATATCTGGTGACGAGTCAGAATAAAAAGTTTGACATACAGGGCTGCCGGAATTTAGCCAGGCCGAAAAACGCCGGTCGGTTTATTTTAATTTAAATCCCTTAAAAAAGACCGGCTAAAATTAAAAAATTCAGCTTTTATTCGAACCAATATTTTTCAAAAACTGTAATACTATAAAAAGAAATATTAAATTGTTAAGTTAATTTCTGCGTTTTCGGGATTGTTTGTTAACCCTTCGACGCAGAATTTTCATTAATCATATTTTTTGTGCTTTTTTCCATCATTTTGTATTCATTTAGGTCAAAAAAAGATAAAAATATTATATTTAGCATTTTAATAATTTATGGTTATAATAGAGAACATGAAACGCTGGTGTCTTTTTCTGAGTTTAAATCTTCCAAAGACGACTTACTTCGAAACAATGTTTTTTAAAATTTGCACTTATTTGCAGCTATTTAGATATACGAGTAACAGTTATTCTTATAACTTATTATTATAACTTTTCGATGAAATAACCCGTATTTGAGTTATATGGAGAGGAAAAACCACAGAAACCTCTTACGGTTAGCCCAATGAAAAGTTTATTTTATCTAATGATCCATGTAACACTTAGAATATTTCACGTCAGTGCTGCGGTTGGTTGATGCAAGTCGGGTGTAGAATTCGTATTAACCAGCCACAGCTTGGATTCAAACCTGAGTCACATTATTAGAAGATGAACGCTCTATCCCCTGAGCAATGCCAGAATGTGCATAATGCCAGAATGTTCGGTTAATTTTTACTACTACAGCTATTTACTATCTTGATTTTCCAGGATCATCAATTCCATTCAATTTTACTGCTTTCATTCTCATTCATTCTAATTCTCATCCACTCTAAATATTTACAAAACGTGCATTTTGTTTTGAAACATTATGTTCATTAAATTTTTAATTATTTAATTATTATTTTTTAATTATTGCAAAATGAGTTACCATAATCATAATAAGGAAGGAGATATTTTATTGTTTCTGGAATAGACCAACCGTGAGTTAAAGTCATAAAAAATTCTATAAGATAATATAAAGGCTATGAAGTAACGCTGGACAGCAACACATAAAATCATTTAAAGAACATGAACCGAAGAAACTAAATAAAATGAGACAGAAAAAGCTTACGTGCTTATTCTCATTCATCTCTTTCCTTCTCATTCATTCTAATTCTCATTCTCTCTGAATATTTCTAAAACATTCATTTTGTTTAAGAACAATATACCCATTAAATTTTTAAATATGTTTGAATTATTGCATAATGAGTTATCCTAATCATAAGAATGAGGGAAATATTTTACAGTAGCTGTTACAAACCAACAACAGCCTGTTAAAACCATAAAAAAACTTAAGAAAGACATAAAAACCCTAAAGCAGCGATGGAAGGGAACGCAAGAAACCATTCGAAACACATGGGCTCATGAAGCTAAAGGAGATAATGCACGAAAAGCTCATGTACTCATGCTCTTTTATCTCTTTTATTCTTAATCATTCGAATTCTCATTTACGCTTTATATTTTTAAAATGTTCTTTTTAATTTAGAACAATATGTCTATTAAATTTTCAAATTATTTTTTAGTTGTTGCATGATAAGTTGCCTCGATCATACACAGAGAAAAAAATTCTGATAAAATTAACGTACTTGGTAAAGACATTTCTGATTTTAAAAAAATAACACAATTCTAGAAATAATACCAAAGTATACGGTATTTAAACCACCCATATGGTAACGATTTACCGGATATTTTGTTTTCCAAAATTATAGTTTCCGCGCGTGTATACTTATCCGCACGTGTATTAAAAATATGAAACTGAAAAGCATATTTAATCAAATGAATGGTTTCTATGCTGTGGAGTGGATATATTTTCTAAATAAGTCTTTCACAGAACGGATATAAATTAATACTTTAATCTTCGTTCCCGTAGGTCCTCATAGATTAAAAGAGTAACATAATATGTGCATTTGCAACGAAATAGCTCAAGGAAAAGCATTATATTAAAAATTCATTTCAATTTCCCGAACATAAAGTGAAATTTAAGCTTATTTGCTATTAATTTTCGTAGTACCCGCACCGCACTCCGTGATCATTTTACCCGCTTGCGTTTTCGAAGAATTCACTGCGTGGCATTTATTAAAAAGCAACATTTAAACGAAAACAACCCAAAGGCTGCTTATTCGAGGTAAAGAGCTTGTAAATATCCTTTAGCTGGAATTAATGCTTCAGAAATATTCTAATTTTAAATTTATGAAATGAATTATATTTCTCGAAATTTTTAAGTCAGGAGGAAAAGTAACTTGGCTCCAATTACTTTTAATTTCAAAACACAAAATATTTGCTAAGACATCCCCAGGCAGACATGCATCAGCACACTTTTGAAAAACGAAACTACTTTAGACGCCAGTAAAATTTCAATTTACTTTAAAGTATTGATTACTTTTATAATTAGTAAGAAAATGTTTTTTGGAACATGGAGAACACAATTCTGGTAAAATACTGTACTAGGAATTTTCCTCATTTCCTCATTCACTGTACCTTTCTTTTTTCTAGAAAGCATCCAATTATTTTAAAATTAATATTTCAATGTGTATAATATTTCAATGCATGTTCAATGTCACTCTTTGTTTGAAAATGTCTAATTTTAACATAGATACCTTTTTGGTAAATTAAAACTTCCTCTCTCCCTTTCCAAATAATATCGTCTTTAATGAAATTCCTTTAATTGCATTCAGGTTTAACATTAATAAAAGATGCGAGTTATCAATTATTTATGCATTTATTACTATTGTATTCACACTATTACTTTCATTTCAATGGAGTTTTTATGAAATGAGAAAAAAATTAACTAATGTTTAATACGTGTGTTAATTAAAAACACGCTTAACATCTTCCTTCTTTCTCCATCTTGAAGTGATAACATTATATCTGAACAGCTCATAACCTCTTTTACATTACAATGATGTATAAATGTTTATCCAGAAATAAATAACTGCGAATTAGAAGAAATTATTGTTTGAAAGTGAGCCATATTTGGAAGATTTTACCTTTAACGCAGAAAAAGACGCCAGTGTTTCATGCTGTATATCATAACTATAAAGTTTTAACATCTTCCTTACACTTAACATCTTCCTTGCATTCAATAATTATCAAACGATGTATACACCATTTCTCCATCTTGAAGTGATAACAATATATTTGAACAG